ACACATATATACATATACACACACATACATAAACACACATTCATACACAAAATTTACATACACATACATATATATACACATATACATATACATTACACACATACATAAACACACATTCATACATATTCACATATACACATACACATACATATATATATATATATATTCACATACACATCACATAAACACACATAAACATTTATATATATGCATATACATTCATATTCACATTCACATACATACACAACACACATACATAAACACACACACATACACATATACATACATAAACACATATACATTCGCATACACATATACATACACACATACACATAACATATTCACATTCACATATATATATATACACAATACATACATATACAAATCCATATACACGATATATATACACATACCTTGGCGAATTTTGAAGAAAAACAATTTGTTGGAGAAGATTGGAGAAGATTGAGATTTTTTTTAAAAAAAATTCGAAGTCTGGAGGAGAAAGACGAAGTCGCAGCTTTTATTAAGTGTTGCGACGGATATTGCAGTCGCAACCCGTCGCAAAACGAAAAATAAACCGCGAAAATTTAAAATTTTTCATCGAAAATAGCGGAAAAAAATAAAATTTAGATTTGCGACTGAAATTTCTGTCGTAAATCTGTCGCAAATTCCAAAAATAAATAACATAAATTTAAAAATAAATAAAATTAATATTTGCGACAGAAATTTCTGTCGCAAATCTGTCGCAAATCCGTAATTTTAAAATTTCTATCGCAAATAATGTTTGGTTCTGCGACGACAACGTTTCCGTCGTATTCCGTCGCAAATTTGCGACGGATTTTGCGACTAATTGCGACGGAATAAAAATTTTCGCATTCCGTCGCAAATTCGTCGAATTCTGTCGTAATTTCTTTGCAACGGAAAAATTCCGTCGCAAATTCCATCGCTATATCAAGATTTTCTTGTAGTGTTTATCTCTGCCTGTTCTAACCGAACAAGCACACTCTCTGCTCGATTTGTCTGCCTTAACCGGGAATGTTCTTCTTTTGTTTCTCTTTATGTTTCTTTCTACAACACAGAGAATATGAAACTATGTCACTTCCGCTGTAAACCAGATGACGATATACAGACATTCCTCTTGAATGCTGAGGATTACTCTGAATCATTGTCTTCTCCACAATACCATCTTGTATGGACCATATTTATATCGAACAAAGCCAATCCTATGTTCACTACAGCTTCATGGTTGTCTGAAAATAACCAAACTGAACTCTTGTCTTGCCCAACAGAACATTGTGCCCACATGGCTCAATCTGTTGAAGAAAAGATATGCTGGAAGAAGAAAGAAAGGTACTAGCAACTGAATCCAACCAGGTAAGATAGTGACTGGAGCTAACGACGCATTATTATCGTTCCGGGTTTGTCAAGAATCAGCAAGATCTCGATGAAAACGCGATGCAACAATCTATGACCATATAAAAAGCACCGGCATTACATTCTTCAATCATCTTATATATATATCGCGAACCACGGGGGCCTTATACTCTTTCTTGGTGTAACGACGAACCGGGGGGCCAGACCCAAGATCAAGATCGGAACCAGAAACCAAAGAATCTTTATCACGAAATCTGGGGTCTTCTCCTGGTTATAGGCCGGTTGTTGCGGTGGGGCATATGTTTTTTCCGTGGGAAAGGTCGAGGAATCAATCTCCCCGTTGAAGTACTGATGCATCATATCCCTTGCCGTGTCGTTGTGGTCGACATCTCCCTACACAAAACATTTTGAGAAAAACGACTGGTTGTCTGAATGGATCAAAGAGCGCAGGTGATCTAATGAGTGAGAGCAAGAACTGATCTTTTCACCTGTTGATGACAGCAAAACCTCGTAACCTCCTGGATGATCATCCATGAATGGTGTCACATCGTATACCAGGAATCGAGTTCAAGAACAAGCGTCAATCTTCAGACAAGAACAACCATGAATCTCAAACGTCTACATGTCCAAATCATCGGGACAAACACAAACTAACTTCAGACAGGACCGGTCCTCGTGAAGTAGATTCAAAGAGAAGTTCTTCAAAATAAGAGGAAAAGATCTAACCTTGCCGGAAATTATAAGCCAACAATCCTTGGTTTTGTTGTGCTTCGATACTTCTTCGAATGTAAGAAACTTCTTCAAATCTGAAAACATTTCTTCTCAACGGCAAACACGATCAAAATCATCAGCCAATTCAGACAAAACCCGTCTGAACCCAGAATTCAGGTTGGAAGAGCACTGGAAACCGAAACCCAGATACCAAATGAATCAAAAAAGCGTTTCGTTAATCAAAAGAGTACAATTTCTTTACAAGTTTTCATGAAAAAGGAAACCTTTTTTTTTTGCCTGTTTTTGGAATTTCGATATTTGCAAAGCTCGAATTAGCAAAAAGACGAAGGAAAATGGAGTTCGGCCTCTGTACCGTCCAACTTTGGAACAAAATGACTAAATTAGCCTCTATGATTGCCATGAATTTTGTTGTTGACCAGGGGTAGCTTAGACATTAGTCAATCGAATCCTCTTTTGTCCATGTAAAACCAAAGAACAAATTCTTCAAAACGTGGAAAATAATTTAATAATCCCAAGAAATACGATCATTCCCTGTTTAATACATTATTACTCGAATCTTCTATATACGGTTGCATTTTTTTTCACTTTATCTTACGATTTCATTATTTTTTATATCAGATTTTATCCATTTTATTAAATTATATCTACGGATTTTCATATAAAGTGTCTTGAAATTGTATACATTTGTATTCCTATGGACTCCTGCTCTTAGCCCAAACGACGAGGAGATCCCCCATGGATTCATTTTCGCGACATTTATGTTGGCTTCGATGCTCGGAAGTTCCCTCGCGTCTCGCTTGTTGGCACGTTCATCTCCCAAAGCGGAAAGCTACATGCAGATCGTCTTTGTTGTTTCCGCTGCCTCGCTCTTGCTCCCAATAATAATGACTGTATGTTTTGCTTCGGACAGAATCCTTGTTTTCTGGGTTGTTCTCTGTTTGATTCCACTGTTTGTCTGATTGCAAAAGCTTCACATGGAAAACTGAAGTCACAACTCTTTTTTCTGACACCATGGGATTACCAACAATATAAAATAATTCTATATATTAAATTATTAATTTTTTAACAATATAGTAATGTTAAAATTTCAAAAAAAAATTTACTCACGTTTTTTCTGATTTCTAATTAAACATCATTACTTTTACAAAAATTCCATAAAATTACATAAAATTTTACAAAGATTAAAAATTTTTAAGTGTCGTATAATTGTTTTATAAACCGTTTCAAAATTTATAATTTAATTTAGAATTGAAAAAAGTTCGTCTATTATATCCAAAAAAAAAAAGTTCGTCTATTTTTTTAAAATTTAAAATTCGTATTAATCATAATAAAATCTTTAAAAAATTTATTAGACACGTGTGTCGAGGTATGTTGGGCCTCGGTAAATTGGGCGTTTGACCTTTAAACTTTTGAGGCCCACCAACTGAATGTCTGAATCTGTAACGTCGAAATTACGATAGTGCCACTGAGGCTGTTTCCGTCATTTCGGAGGATGAACTTTCTTCTTCTTTCCTCGATCCACACGCTCTTTCATAAAAAACCCTTTCGTCGTCCACAGGAACTGCGGATATTCGGCCCGTTTTGGATACGCACTTCTTCGCCTCCGAACCCTAATTTTTTAGATTATCTACGAGAGTTTGAAGTTTTTGTTTGGTAGGAAGAATGGGGCGTTCGTCGGAGACGAAATTCTTACAAGAGCTGATACTGTACGCGGCGAGCGCGGCGCTAAGCTGTTTGGTTCTGTTCGCCGGTCTCCGACATCTCGATCCGAACCGTGAGGCGGCCAAAAAGGCGCTAGAGCATAATAAGGAAATCGCCAAGCGTCTCGGTCGTCCTCTTATCCAGACCAATCCCTACGAGGTACTTAGTTTTGGTGTTCTTGAATTACCGACCTGAATTTCTGTGATTCTAAAGCTATCAGGGTTTGAGTTTTATGAATTGAAGATATCCAAATCTTGTGCTCATATGTTTCTTAGGTCGTTCAGAGGGTACTTTCTGTAGTTTTTACGGTTTCAATTCAGAACTCATTCACAGTTAATGTAAAATGGGTGTGGAGGAGGTTTGATTGAAGCGTTCATGCCTTAGATTGTGGGGAATTTGATGCAATTTGAGGCTGACAATGTTTATGCATGAGATTCACTTCTATGATATTAGAAATTCTTCAGCATTCTTCTCTGTCCTATAATGTCTAGAAAAAATCCGTGTCCATAGTTTTGTTTCTTTTCTCATCTGTTCTGTATAGTGCTTCAATGAGAAGGTTAGGGGCTAATTTGTTCCCTTACATGTGCTTTTCTCTGTGTCACATGAACAGGATGTGATAGCTTGTGATGTTATAAATCCAGACCACATTGATGTAGAGTTCGATTTGATCGGAGGCTTGGAGTCTATCAAGCAGTCTCTTTATGAGCTTGTGATTCTGCCTCTGAGAAGACCCGATCTGTTTTCTCATGGGAAGCTGCTTGGTCCTCAAAAGGGTGTCTTGCTGTATGGTCCTCCTGGAACCGGGAAGACAATGCTCGCTAAGGCTATCGCCAAAGAATCAGGAGCTATTTTTATTAATGTAAGGGTTTCAAATCTGATGAGCAAGTGGTTCGGTGATGCTCAGAAGCTAGGTATGCATATATCTTTTTCGGCGTATATCTCATTTTGTTGGCTTAAGTTTCAAATTTCTACGTTTTCCCTGCTAAACCTTTTGTTTGATTGATGTGTGTTACTAATATGAGAGTTGTCCCGTTTTTCAGTTGCTGCTGTATTCAGCTTGGCATACAAACTCCAACCCGCTATTATATTTATCGATGAGGTTGACAGCTTTCTTGGCCAGCGTCGGTCAACAGATCATGAAGCGATGGCAAACATGAAGACCGAGTTTATGGCGTTGTGGGATGGATTTAGCACTGACCGTAAGTTGCATTCGTAGTGTCTAATTTCTTTTTTCCCCTCATCATGCAAACTAGTGTATCTTGAAGCATGCCTTCTGTAAGGATTCGGCACTTATGAATGGATATTATTGTTTTTTACTATAGAGAATGCAAGGGTGATGGTTCTTGCTGCAACTAACAGGCCATCAGAACTCGATGAAGCAATACTGAGGCGTCTTCCTCAAGCCTTTGAAATTGGGATGCCTGACCGAAGGGAGAGAGCCGAAATTCTGAAAGTGACTCTGAAAGGTGAGAGGGTCGAGTCCGGTATCGACTATGATTATGTTGCTGGCTTATGTGAAGGCTACACTGGATCGGATATTTTCGAGCTCTGCAAGAAAGCAGCTTACTTCCCTATCAGAGATCTCCTAAAGGAGGAGAAAAACGGGAAACATTGTTCGGTGAGTAAACGGATAATCTGAACACTTTAGGGTTATTTCCATAGTCTGGTTTCAAGAACTGAGGGTTTTGAGTTGTAAATGTTTTCAGATTCCACGGCCTCTGTCACAGTTGGACTTGCAAAAGGCTCTTGGTTCATCAAAGAAGACGCAGGTTGCTGCAGGAGAGTATTCCGGGTTCAGCTCGCAAGCCTCTGTATGGAGAAGCCAAAGGGATCCAGACGACGTCCAAGCCGCCATTAGTGGTCTTTCGAAGCTTCTGGTTTCTCAAATCATTAACCTCCAGTCAGATTCTCAAGAAGAAGAACCCCAATGATTTTTTTTTTCATTTGTATAGCTGAGTTCAAAAGGATGAATCTTTTGCAGGATTCTGGTGTCGGTGTGAATTGGGCATTGCCTTGGCACCCACCTTTTGTTTTTACTTCGGTGTTTTTGTTTGTCATAGAAATCAAATGATTTTAGCATTGTACTTCTGCTTCTGGTTTCTCAAATCATTATCCTTCATTCAGAAAATAAAGTTTCGAACTTTAATTTCATTGATTAACCGGGACGGTTACACCAAAAAATCGGTTTAACCGGTTTGACGTTACACGATGAAACGCAATTCTTCAACTGGGTCGCTCTCCTTATGTGATCCGACGGACGCCAAAAAAGTCTCCGTTGTTACCTTGTCCCACCGACATTTTTTAACCGTTGATTTTCAGATCAATCCCTTCAGATCTTGCCACGTGTTATCTGGCACATTCTCACCGTTATCCGCTTTTCCAGAAAATGTATCCTCTGCGTCTCGCGCACCGTGGTATTCGTACGCTAACGCTTCGCTATTGTACATTGTAGACCAAGTTTCACACGAAGGTGCAACTCGAAGTGGGGTCAAAGGCTGATCGCATTTCCCCGTCAGTGATCTTTTTTAAGAGCCGAGGACGAAGATCTGAGACCGAAGAAAGAAGCAGTGGCTGTGACGCAAAACAGATACTTCTCCCCACAAATCTTAGCTACGGTCTTGGATCCGTCGGAGTTTTTCCGACAATGGAGGTGTTCTACTACATGGTGTTCGGAGCTCTTGGCGTGTTTGTCGCCGCCATGGAGCTCAGCAAGAACAATAAGGATCGGATCAACACTTCTTCTGCTTTCAATTCCTTCAAGAACAATTACCTCCTCGTTTATTCGCTCATGATGGGTAACGATGTTGATCCCTGCTAGCTCGCAAATTTGCTTCATTTTGCTCGATTTCCATACGTTAACATTATTCATGTCGATCCGATCCGATGCCGATCCGATCTGATTGGTGTTAGAGTTTAATCAATGGGTTTGGTGGGCGATTCAAATCTGTATGTCGTTCTATTGTTGTTTGGTTGCCGAGTTCAGTCGTTCAGAGGAAATGTTAGTTGCCTTAGGGAGAGAGTTCGATATTTCATGGGAAACACGAAGAGATGGGAGATGTATTTGTTTGATGTTGAGCTAGTTGGTTTGGTTAATCTGATTTGTCATTTTGGATTACGGATTGGCGGAAACCTAATTTGATGAGTGGAGAAGAAGAAGATGAATCACGCGAATCCAGTGAAAAATACATTCATACTGTTCTTTTGATGGTATCAACTTAAAGTTCTAAACTTTATCAAGAAAACTTTGGCTGAATTTAGCTTACAATTAAGGCTATTTGTCTTAGAATTAATGTGCAGACCGCAAATGTTGATTTGGTTTTTCGTCAATCTTTTGTGATGACAGCGGGAGACTGGTTGCAAGGTCCATATGTGTATTACCTTTACAGTACTTACGGATTTGGAAAAGGGGAGATCGGACAGCTTTTCATTGCTGGTTTTGGTTCCTCCATGTTATTCGGTACAATCGTTGGATCTCTGGCCGACAAACAGTGAGATTTTCCTCTCAAAGTTATAATAAACTTCCTATAAGTATCATTCGTCAACTGCTTATTGATGTGTTCTGTTTTCAGGGGTCGTAAGAGAGCATGTATTACGTATTGCATTACGTACATACTGAGCTGTATCACCAAGCATTCTCCTGAATACAAAGTTCTGATGATAGGGCGTGTTTTGGGAGGCATTGCCACTTCGCTTCTGTTTTCAGCCTTTGAATCATGGCTTGTTGCCGAGCACTTTAAGGTTTGGGGCAGCTTTTTTAAGCCAAAATTCTTTGAATCGAATCTGTGACTATAGCTGAAGATACCATTTGTATATATGTATATATGAAGTTTGTATTCTTTCCTTGTTGATGCCTTGCAGAGGGGTTTTGATCAGCAATGGCTATCATTGACTTTCTCAAAGGCGATATTTCTTGGAAATGGTCTCGTTGCTATCATCGCTGGACTATTCGGGAATCTGCTCGTTGATTCCTTTTCACTTGGCCCTGTGGCACCGTTTGATGCTGCTGCATGCTTCCTTGCCATTGGAATGGCTATCATTCTATCATCATGGACAGAAAATTATGGCGATCCTTCAGAAAACAAGGACTTGCTTACCCAGTTCAAGGGTGCTGCCATGGCCATTGCTTCTGGTAGGTTCAGAAACCAGTTCAAGGCTGCTTTCTGCTTGTCCTTTTTATGTCCGTTTGTTACTTGCATAAGGGTTTGTGATTATCAATTAAAAAACCAATTTTTTTCCTTCATCAGATGAAAAGATTGCTCTTTTGGGTGCCATCCAGTCACTTTTTGAAGGATCCATGTATACATTTGTATTCCTATGGACTCCTGCTCTTAGCCCAAACGACGAGGAGATCCCCCATGGATTCATTTTCGCGACATTTATGTTGGCTTCGATGCTCGGAAGTTCCCTCGCGTCTCGCTTGTTGGCACGTTCATCTCCCAAAGCGGAAAGCTACATGCAGATCGTCTTTGTTGTTTCCGCTGCCTCGCTCTTGCTCCCAATAATAATGACTGTATGTTTTGCTTCGGACAGAATCCTTGTTTTCTGGGTTGTTCTCTGTTTGATTCCACTGTTTGTCTGATTGCAAAAGCTTCCCTGATGTGAAAGTGCAGTTCTTTGTAGAGCCTTCAAAGGTGAAAAGAGGAGGAATCTCTTTTTCCGGATGCATCCAGCTTCTAGGGTTCTGTATATTTGAGGCATGTGTTGGAATATTCTGGCCATCAATCATGAAGATGAGATCCCAATACATCCCGGAGGAAGCCAGAAGCACCATCATGAACTTCTTCCGCATCCCCTTGAATATATTTGTCTGCGTTGTTCTGTACAATGTAAGTTTCACATTACTTCTTTTACAGTGTAGGATGTAGTCGTCATAGGGGTGGGGCACGACACCCGGAAATGGTGAGTACTTGCTCGATCCGTGAGTCGGGTACCCGAAAGCTCGGGTACTCATTCACTGGCGGGAGGAGTACGGGTCCATCGTCGGTGAGAATCCGTTTTTGGGTTTTGGCCAGTGCCCTTTTCCCGTGGGAATCCGAACCACTAACCAGAGAGGGCGAGGTAGGCGACAAGAGGGCTGTGCAAGGGAGGCTGTGCATCGTTGCTATTAGGGTTGTGTTTCAATATAAAGATTAGAGATAAGGTGTTTTTTAAGTCTTCGTGTTGAGCCGAGGTCGAAGGGCGATTGGGCAAAGGAGGTGGTGATTTCGTCACTTGCCGTCTCTCCTCGGACCAGGTTGCCTTTGAGTCTCTCGGCTTGCCAGCCGGGTACCCGAGCCCTTGCTGCACTCCATGGGTGCCCAAAACTTGGCTAACTAACTCTTATGAAACTGAGGTCAGGTAGTACGGCCGAAAAAACCCAAAGGAAGCCATGGCTGAGGTCGGGTACACCGAAAACTCGGGTACCCGACCCGTATACGAAGTTTTTATCCTCTCCCGAGCTATGTAAGCCCTTTGATACTAATTAGATTGGGGTGTGTCTGTATAGGTGAATGCATTCCCTATCACCGTCATGTTCGGAATGTGCTCCATCTTCCTCTTTGTTGCATCTATCCTTCAAAGGCGACTCATGGTGTTAGCCGACAAACCAAGTATGTCTTTCGCTGCATTTTTTTATTCCACATTCTCAGATGTAGGAACTTAACTGTCATGTTCAACCTTTAACGTTCTTGCAGAATCTGGTGACTGGACACAGCTCAAGGAAAGGGACGCAGAAGATGAGCCATTGAACATTTGATGAAACACCAAAACGCAAACGCAAACGCCATTTGATTCCATATCACTTTGATTTTTAAAGTTCATTTTGAAGATAAACGCTCTTGGATGATGCAGTAAGAGGGAATCTAGGAGTTGAAGGTGAAATGGTAAAGAGGCTCACACAAAAAAAAAAACAGAAAGGATCATAGGCGGCGGTGTTAGCGAAGCAGTAGTTTATTTTATGCATACATATATATATATATAGTTTTAATGTTATTGGCTATTATTGTGTGAAGTAGATTCAAAGAACATCGAAGCATTACTACTCCAAATCACAGATGTTATTCTTTGTCCTGAAAGCGAAGTTCTTTGTTCTGTCCTTTAGATTAACGTCATCAATGGAACAAGTGTCGATGATAATGATTGAACAAATCATGGAATTTCAGTTTGGGCTTCTTCGAATTTCAAGTCTTTAAAGCAAAACCCAACACTGTGATTTAAAAATCGAAACTTTCACGTATTTTTCCACGTTATTTCTCTGAATTTTCTCACTCCCAAACACGTTTTGTTCACCGTCAAAATTTCAAAAGAAAAAAAAAAGAGGAAGAAATAAAGAATCGCTGAAAATTTTCTGGGCATCCAAGCAAAGGATCTGCTGAGCGGTGGTTTTCATCAAGACCTGTATCACCAAGTTGCTTTGACTTGGATAACAATTTTAGATCTTTCATCGTGGGTTTTTGTCCTCCATTTTTAGTGGTAACGACTGAATCAGAGAGATCTTCGTATAGTAATCTTTCTGGTATATCGTCTGGAATCTCTAGTCTTGCACGCTAACATCTGATCTGCCCACTGTTTGTGTTCTTATCCTCTGTTTGCAGACATTGATCTCGGAGCTGGTGAAGAAGAGGTTTTAGAAAGGTGTGCTGTCTCTCTTCTCTTCTGTCTTGTCTCTTTTTTTTTTTTCTGGGTACTTCTTCCTGTTTCTGGAAACCCTAACTTCCGATTTTCATGTAATTTTCTGGAGGGGGAAAGGTCAAAGCTTTGATCAGATGGCTCAGTCGGTTGGTCCAAGGCTGTATAGTTGCTGCAATTGCAGGAACCATGTTGGCCTTCACGACGATATCATCTCCAAGGCCTTTCAGGTGAATTTAGCTTTGATCAAAATCCTTTGGCCGTGTGTTCCAGATTGTAGTAAAGGCCACGACTTTTGTGTTTTTCCTGTCTGAAACCCGGAACATGTCGGATGAGAAAGAATCAGGAATCAGTGATCCTTACTTAGTTTACCTGTTTACTATGTCCAAGATTCGATCAAAACTTACATTGATGCTGGAGCCTGGAGATGAAACAGTTGTCTCTACATGTTTCATAGGTTGAAACAGCAAGCCCAGTAACTGGATCAGTCATGGCGCTGAAACCCACCTTAATCATTCTTCTTTTTTAACATTCTTGTGATGATTGCAAAAATCGATCAAAAACCCGGGTTATTATCGCATGAAAAGCTCTTGACACTCTCTTTTGTCTCTGTGAAACCGTTCAAAATCAAATCTCTGAGCTGTGGTCTGTCGATGTCAGGGAAGAACAGGGAGAGCCTTCTTGTTCTCGCACGCGATGAACGTGGTGATAGGGCCAAAGGAAGACCGGAATCTCCTTACGGGTCTCCACACAGTGGCTGATGTGTCTTGTGCAGACTGCAACGAAGTGCTTGGATGGAAGTACGAGCGAGCATACGAGGCCTCGCAAAGGTACAAGGAGGGCAAGTTCATACTCGAGAAGGCGAAGATTGTGAAAGAGGATTGATCGGTAGTAACCGTTGTTATCAAAGAACAATGCTGAATTCATTCTTGGGTTTGGCTCGAAAAAACAAATGTACATGAATCATTTGGCTTCGTCGATGTCTAGTGATGTCGATCTTCCAACGACTTCGATTATGCTCCAATGTATTAGTAAGGATTTCTCTGTTAATAGCTTCCTGATGTGTCTTTGATATAGTTCTTGTGTGGCAAACTTTCTCTGAGTTGTTTGGAAGAAGACCGGAAAGCAGAGAGCTTGGAAGGTAAAGAAATGCATGCCGTTTTTTAATCAGGCAAAGGTAATAGCCCTTACAGACAGTGTGCCGTTTTATATTTGCACCATCCAAACTGCCGGACGATATCTCGAATAAACAATCACAGTAGACCGGTTTTTCGGTTTAACTGTACCAATTTATTAAAGCGAGAGGAATTATATTCATGGCTTTATTTGGGCCGAAAGCCCATATATAAATATCAGAAATGAAATGAACAACCAAGGCCTACGGGCTTTCCTGGTAACTGAATAATTAAAAATGAAAAATACTTTCGCGAAAATAAAAGAAAAAATTTAGAATTTCATATATTCCTTTAAAATCTTCTTACACTTTGAACAACTTATAGATCTTTCTACGAATTTAATATTATACAATATCTGATATTTTTCTTCAACCTTTAACATTAAAATTCCACGAATTTAAAATATCCTTCTTCAATTTAATCCGAAGATATTTTATCAAAAAAAAAAAAAAAAAATTAATCCGAAGATTCTACAAACCATAAAAGGAAAAGAGACTCATCACAAATGATTTTTCACACCCGATGAGATTTTAAATAATGTTTATCAGAAAATGTTGATAACCGTTGGAACATCATAAAATCTGTGCAGACACGAATTTTTTTTTTTCCCGACCGAACTCCAGATCTGTTCATATTATTTTTGGTGTATTTTCCCCGCGTAATCGGTTGTGGGCCCAGTGATATGTGGACCCCACTTTGAGAACAGCTAAGGCAGAGAGATCTAACGGTTCGGAAGCGTGACCACGGGATACAGTGTGTGGTCCTTCTCGCAGGCTGTAATTACTCTGTCTCTCTCTCTCACCCACCCAATCAATAATGGGTCGTTTTTAAAACGCCGTCCTTCCCCGAATTCAGGTCCAGCCCACACGCTCTCCGACCATCTCCTTCTTTATTATCTCTTTAAAAAAAAAATATTTCCCTGAAATTCTTTTTCTTCATGTTACATAGATATATGCCAAGGTTTTGTTTGTTTTTTTTTTTCGATTTGCAGTAAATTAAACGAATGATTTAAAAAAAACAATCATTGGTTTCGTATTATATTCAGATTTTATTGATTTTTATTGCGGTTTATTAATATGGTTTCGATTCGGATAAAATACGATTTGGAAGTAAGTCACTCCATATTATTTGTGTAGCTGATCATGTTGATCAGCATTTGATTTTAAAAAAAAAAGATCTTAACTTCTATAATACAATTTGACGATAGTAGAGAAAGACGGATTTTAAAGAAAGATGAACAAAACTCTAAGGCGCATTAGAATTATAGATATGATTTACATGATATATATATATATATATATGTCTAAATTTGGATAATTCAATCGGTGAAATAGGGACAAAATATCTATTTCGTTGGTAAAATATCTAAAATACTCTCGTTTTACTATAACTATTAAGTATGATATTTTGGATAACACTCCTCTCAAATTTGGGGAGAGAGGATATAACTTAAATCACATGATTAGTTTCCGTCTTCGGAATTAGTATACACATATCCATCAGACTATCTAAAAACCTATGTGATGTTATATCTTGAGGGCAATGGACCAGATCCCAAAGTAACAAAAAAAAGTACAACAGTCTGTCGTCTTCCAAGTTAATGAGGGTTGTCCCTAACATCACCGTCTTCGTGGTCCTCCCTCCATTCTTTTGCGTTTAATTTGGACCAAACCCTAGCTGTTTTCTTGTTTTCTTTTTCACTTAATTTTTTCCATGATCTCTTTATCATATTGCCACAATCATACACACACATACAAATTTGCATGTTCTTGTATGTATATACTATTGTAGTACAATCACACAATTCCCTATGACAATGAAACCATATGTATATATATATATATAGAGAGAGAGAATGTATGCATAGTTTTCTATTTTGGAAATTTAGAACCGTACGTTTACGTGCATGTGCTCTAGTGATAATATCCCATATATATGTATATAACGTTCGTATTCATAGGTTGGATTATCTAAAAATTGGGAATTTTTGTCCATCTATAATCATAATATCGTTATATACGTGCATGATTCGTTGGTGAATTATATTCGTCGTGTGGCGCCACTACTATATCCAAATTGTCAGAACGACACAGCTCGCAAACGTGAAACTCGTTGGAGTATTCAAGAGATAGCACGAATCGTTCGAATGGGTTTTGAAATGAATTTCATATATTGAGTTATAATTCGCAGAAAAATTCGATTTTAAACGAGTTCTCAATATATTGATTAATGTGACAACTAAAAGGGAGAGTCTTAGAGTCAAATCTTTTTTTAAAAGATTTTTTATTTTTGGTACACCGTGATAGTAAATTAGTCTCAATATGATAAAATGAAATGTATTTGTATGCAAAATTAGAATGGTCGGTCCATAAAATTCGAAATGAATATATGTAACTATTTCTGCTGTTGCTTGCTGCTTTCGCCAACTCAAAACCTATTGGTGGTCCTTTTGCTCTTTATCCCATCGACTTTTACCATGTTATATGATATCTTTCGAATTCAAAACACGGTCCAGTGCAGCAAGCATGGCGATATTAAATTTTAATTTGAATATATTTCTATACGAACTCTTTTTCTAAATTCAAACTACATTCATTTTTCTAAATAAAATTTCATTCTCACCAAGAGTTTTGTATTGGTTTATATTCAATTTAAATTTGGTTAATTGGATTAAAAATATAATATTACTCATTTTCTATATGAAATTCGATTTAAATATAATTATATATTATTTGATTTTTTTCAATAACTTAATAAAATTCAATATAAATCAAAGCTGTTTCAGATTAATGTTATATGAAAAAACTAAATAATAACTCTTAATTATAACATCATCATAACTGTTTACCCAACAGTTGGTGGTCCAATAGCTGTTCTAGATCTAGGATAGATGTAGTTGAACCGAAGATACGGGAACCATCCTGGTTATAGAAAAAAAAAACATCATAACTGCTAAGAAAGGACCTAACCTATATAGCATTTTTTTATTTTTAAAAATGGTTAACAGACGAGATATTTTATAAAAGTAAGATAAATTAGTCATCAGATTCAACAAAGATACTAGCGAATCCTCATGCCCTATCTCCCATGTCCAAAAGTCAATTTCAACATACACACACATATAAACGCACATAGATACACGTGTACAAATATATAAATACATGTATCTAAATTTAAAAACATGTGCCCAACTATAAGCATGTGTCTCGATCCCATGGTCCGTGGTATGCATCGCGTTGGTTCATTGTATTCCTAGCTACAAAATGTATCTACCTCTAAATGTGGTGGTGGGTCCACAAAGAATCTATAAGAACAACCATAATCGATGGAGGCATATGCTTTTTAAAAAGGGAGAATCGCATCAAAAACATTGAAACGTAGTCAAATGTACCATATAAAATATTGTATTTTGTTTTCAGTCAATTAATACATAGATTTTACTATGATTCCATAAAAAAAAAGATATCCTCAAATCCAAATGATACTATAAAAAAACTTTGTACTTTCAAGTTTTGAGGTGTAATACTCTTATATACACGGCATCATATCATATTTTACATTATTTATCTCTTTACAATCATGCAATATCAAAATGTTTTTATATTATTTTACAAATCGAAATAGATATATTTCGGTCGGAATCAAAATATTCGGTATGACCAAAACCAAAATAATAATATAAATTCGAAAAGATTACAAAAAGAAATAAAAAATTATGGGTGATCGTGCGTTTTTATCTTCTGTATTTAAAACTTTGATTCTCCATCCAAATGGAGTTATATGTTGCTTAACAAGCAGGCAAGCCATTTCAGCACGAATAATAAGCGATAATAACAACCAAAAATTAAAATAAAAATAAAAATTAAAGATCATACATACATACATACATACATACATACATACATACATACATACATACATACATACATACATACATACATACATACATACATACATACATACATACATACATACATACATACATACATACATACATACATACATACATACATACATACATACATACATACATACATACATACATACATACATACATACATACATACATACATACATACATACATACATACATACATACATACATACATACATACATACATACATACATACATACATACATACATACATACATACATACATACATACATACATACATACATACATACATTTGATATGTTTTAGAATTCATTTTATAATCGATTAATTTAATTATGCCAAACCAGTAAAAAAAAAAGGAATTAGGTTGGACGGCCAAACATTATTAATCGTATAGTCATATTTTATTTAACTGTAAGTTAAATTACGTTACATGTCATACGTACATAAAGACCTCTAGACAGATAATGCACATTAATTACAGTTAAATGAAGAAAATTCAATTGCAACCCGAATTAATGTTTGCTGGTTCACCCGTTACCGACCCAGCCGACCTTGTCGGGATTTTTTCCACACGCATAAGCAAGACACTATTAATTAATTTATTGTAAATAAATAAGTATTTTTATACAAATAATAAGATTTTACACCGTTTTCTAAAATTACATAAAAATAATAACTAGGGTTAATTCTTGTGTGAAGTAATGCATTTGTATAAAAACTCTTTTGCTACCGTGTTTTGTTTTCACACATATATACATATAAAGATATAAAAAAAACGAATTTCGTTCGGGAGTCAGTTCATATTTTATCGAAATAGATTCAAAAAATTTTAAAAATTTGAACTCGGATAGAACAAACATTTAATATTTTCACATTCATAGATTTCATTCTCTCTTCCAATTCCATTTCTATAAAAAAGTTTTAAATTCCAAATAAAATTTTATATTTTATCCATCTCAAATAATAAATTATAAAAATGTAACAGGACAACAATTATTCTCTTTACAATGCAAGGTTGCACAAATCCAGGTAAGCTGCCTTTGCATCTCTAAAGGGAAATATTGTTGATTATTTTACTTTATTTTGCTTCAATTATAAGACAAAATTGCTCATCCATGACGGTCGAATGCACAAAATTATGTTGATCTAATTAATTATAATTTAATGGATATAGTACATCTCATGTGAACCTCGATGGCCCTTTGTTACCCGTTATGTTTTCTTATTCGATTGATTATTTATTGTATATAATATATAGATGCATAGAATATCAAAACGAAATAAAATTATTATTTGGGGATAAGAAGTGAAAAAACAAATGAATAAATGATTTCCCATTGTAGTTTAGTTTGGTTCGAATATAAATTTTATTCCACCTGGTTATTTTTTATCTTAAAAATTACATATACACACATATATTTATTAAAATATTTACTTTAAAACTGAATATTTATTTTCAATCAAATAATTCAATTTAATTTCTAAAAATGATATATTGAATCCATTAATAAATCATATTTAATTTCGAATATTGATAAATATTATTTTTGATTCGATAGATATCTAAAACGAAAGATTATATATCAAACCAACTGGGAATTCCGTTGGTTTATATCCCGGAAGAAATAATTGAGATTTTGCATCAAAGTGAACGAGGAACATGCCGCCTAGTCATCATGCATGCATAGACGTGGGGTCCAACTCCTCACTGTCCACAAATTAATAAAAACTATATATTAAAATTTGAAATAATTAACTATATGAAAAACATAATCATAGAGAAACGATTGATGGATGCAATTAGGCATCTATATGCATGACTGATAACCGCACGACCCATTCTTACAGTATATGTCGTCATCTCTTCATAAATCACACTCCAAAAAACGTTACATGATATTCTTTTTTGTGTATATGATCCTGAAACAGTCAATTAATGTATAACTAATAATGTAAAAAGAAGGAAAAAAATGAACAGATTGGAAAGAAAATGTTTTAGTTTTACTACTTTCAAGACATCACAAAATGATGATTTGTAAAATTAAATTGAATTTTTGTGATTTTTATCATTTACAATAATTCAAAAATAAATATAAATCCGAGTTATTTTTATATTTTACAATTTTATTTGTAATTGAATGATCATAAAAGTAACAAGCGAATGTGGTATACAGTCGACAATTTAATAACAAGAATACCGTGAAGCATGAATATAAATCAAAATCTTAGTTAATTGAATTAAATGAATCATATTACAAAAAATTCAATAATATTTGGGTTTTATTATCACATTGTTAATTTTTTTACGAAAAATAATCATTTTAAGTGGGTTGGGAATAAGATTATACATTGATTGTACTAGAAATCTCGGATGACGTAAGTTTACTTTTGTATAAAATTAAACTAATTGATTAGATTGGCGATGCACTGGGAATCAAGGGGGAAAATTCTCGTTTATTATAAATGATTATTATTATGGAGCATGAGGTGTATCATAAAATCAATTTACAATAAAAGGAAATAAATGATTATAGAGAGAAATGAAATCGCCACCCGTGTAATTAGTAAGTTAATTACCAAAATTCTTCGTAAAAAAAAGTTAATTACCAAAATTAAAGTTCTTAAGAGAGGAAAATTCGAGACAAGTGAGATTTTACAAGGCAACTGTAATAACTGTAGAAATATATAAACAAAAACATATATTCGCCTGCTTCCATAATCTCTTTCCTCGGGCCCTCTCTCTCTCTCTCTCTCTCTCTCTCTCTCTCTCTCTCTCTCCACGGATTTCAAGGAAAGCTTGATCCTTTTAATTTAATATTTTTATTCGATCAATACCCTTTTCTTTCTCTTTTAGTTTTCTTTCTTGCTCGCTATCTCAAGGTCGAGTTCACAACGGTTGTGATGATGATGACAATGGCTGCTGCTACTTCTTCGGACCGTGTTTGTTCCGAAGAAATCTCGTAGAGACGAGAAAACCCATGTAAGAAAATCTATTTTTTTTTTGTATATCGATGTTCATGCTTACGCATTTTCGTGATGATTTCTTCTTTCTTAGGATGTAATCATGAGATCTTCAATTATAGGGGGTAATCCGGCTACTCTGTGTGCTTCGAAAACTGTTCTATCTTCTGTTTTATAACTTTTATTCACTGGGTTTTCTTTTCTAGCTTTCTATTGATTAATTGATGTAAGTTGTTTGCGGAATTGCCTGAGTGAGAGAGAGAGAGAGAGAGAGAGAGAGGGGCTAGGGACGATGATTCCGGATTGGGATTGATGTTTATCGCATGTTTTGTTAGCTCGTCTCGGACCCTGCGCTTTGTAAATTTGTTTAAAGTTTCTCGATTTTATAAAGAAAATAAAATTTATGTATAGTTTCCTGTAGGTTGCTTGGTTGGAAGGGGGGACACTACCAGCTATGGGAAATCCCCTCTGACAAAAGCATTGTTCTTTGAACTGGGTTTCATGGAATGAACGCCAAGAATGTTGGGCCAAGAGGAAGACTTGCCTTTCTTTGATGCCTACGAAGATATGGCATCGAGTTCAATCCTCACTGGTTCAAATGATTCCGATGGTGGTAGCTTCCTGTTCGATGTATGGAACAGCTGCAATGAAAGTGTAATGGAGAGGAGGAGGAAGTTCTTGGAGTGGATGGGAGTTGATGAAGAGCGTGTCAGACCCGAAAATTCGGTTTCTGCAAGCGATGCAGAACCGGAATTTGATACAGCTCGAGAGAATCAAACTGGCCATGGAGGGTTCAGTAGTTCTAACACCGATCTTTCGGGTGAGTTGCCTCCTGGAGCAGATGAAAATGTACGTGGTGGATGCGATGGAACAAGAACGTACAGTTCTTCCATGGCCTCATGTTCTAATTCCAGAAGTTACCAGGGGAAGGAAAGTGAGAAGCAAAGCAATATCTTGGGGATGGTGAAGAGTTTTAAGAAGGGCTGGTTTGGTAGGCTGAGGTCTATGGGGTGTGCCATTGATGAGGAGGTTGAATCTGGTAGAATGAGAGCTTCTGGTTATGGTGGATTAGGTTCTGTTCACAGGATTTGCAGAGTTAAGGTTAAGCATTGTAGGAAGCAGGTGAAGGAATTCTCCGCAATTTATCAGAGACAAAACGTTAAGGCTCACAAAGGTTCGATCTTGACGATGAAATTTAGCTGTGACGGGAAGTATCTTGCAAGTGCAGGTGAAGACGGGGTTATTCGTGTGTGGAAAGTATCCGAGGATAAGCTATCCAGACAACGGGATTTTCCCGAGATAGAGTCTTCATGTACGTACTTCGAGGTAGATGATGATCTTTCCCGGTTGAAACCAGTCTCGGTGGACCGGAAGAAAACGAAAACAAAGATGCCAAAGGGTTTGAGGACAACATCAGGTTCAGCTTGCGTTGTTTTCCCTTCGAAAGTTTTCCGGATAAAGGAAAAACCTTTACACGAATTTCGCGGGCACAAAGGCGAAATCCTGGACATTTCCTGGTCAAGTAATAATGTATGCTGCTAACCTCCCTGAGCTAGAAAAAACTCTGTTTTTATGGTTTGGAAGAAGTATAACTCAAAGTCTATGTGTATTTGTGGTTTAGTATCTTCTTTCGGCGTCTATGGATAACGACATCAGGCTATGGAGGGTCGGTGGCAACGATTGTCTCGGAGTTTTCCCCCACAATAGCTACGGTATTCTTCTCGGCGAATATGGTCATTTTCTGTTCTTCAGTTACCATACTGACTTGATATTATCTGCTATATGCTTCATTGCTTTTGCAGTAACCTCAGTACAGTTCAACCCGGCTAACGAAAACTACTTCATTAGCGGTTCAATCGATGGAAAAGTTCGCATCTGGGAAATTTCTGGTCGTAGAGTTGTCGATTGGGCCGATAACAGAGAGATCATCTCCGCAGTGTGTTATCGTCCGGATGGACAGGGCGGAATTATCGGCTCTCTGACCGGAAATTGTCGATTCTTTGACAAGACTGGAGAATACTTAGAGCTGGACTCTCGGATACATATTCTTAACAAGAAGAAGTCATTGAATAAAAGGATAACTGGGTTCAAGGTAATCATCCTTCGGTTTCTCTGTGTTCATGCTATCGTTTTCTCTTGACACTTTGCTTAGTACCTGAGAAACCAACGCTAAACCCTAAAGCCTAAACCCTAAACACGTGTTCTGCATGTTGTTCCAGTTTTTGCCACGTGACCCGAGCAAAGTTTTGGTAGTCTCTGCTGATTCCCAAGTCCGAATTCTTCAGGGGAATAACGTGATCGGAAACTACAAAGGTATGTTTCTTCTTCTGTATCTACTCCCTCTCAGCAATCTCGATCTACTCCATTGTTGCTTAAAACCGATGATTCTAAATTACATTCATTTTTCGGTTTATGTCCTCAGGCATGTGGAAGAACAGAAGCCTCACGTTTATCTCCCTTACTTCTGATGGAAATCATAATCATATCGTATCAGCTTGTGAAGATTCCAATGTGTACATATGGAACAGAGACGACGCTCCCAAAGAATCGGATTCTTGCCCGGTGAAAAAGATCCGATCTTTCGAACGTTTCTCCACCGATGCATCGGTGGCGACGACATGGTGCGGATTCCCGGCCGAAAGGGCTTCTCGGCAAGCTCTTCTCCCGTTCCCTTCTCCGCCCTTTTGCTTGTCCCTAGAGGAAGGATTTGGGATTGGAATGGGACCTTCTTCTTTCAAAAGATGCCCGACTTGGCCAGAAGAAAACCTCCCTGCTGCTATGCCTGTTTCCCGACACAAGTTCCTCAGCACGAGCTCTCTCGCTTGGGGAACGGTTATCGTGACCGGAGGTCGGGATGGACGGATCAGAACGTTCCAGAACTACGGCCTTCCGGTGGTAACTTAAAAGGGATCATAATCCGAATCAGAAGCCCATCGTTCCATTCCTTTTCATTCACCTTACGAAGTTATGGGCTGTTCTGTTGTGTCGGAACAGATCTGTTCGAAGCACGTTGATCAAGAAATGGCGATATGGGGACGGAGACATTGATGGACTCTGGAAGATCAGAAGTCTTTGAGAAGGGCCGGTGGAGATTCTTTTTACACGCGTTTGTTTCCGTCAATCTCTTCAATATTATAGAATGATGAGAAGAAATCTTCGTGGATCGTTACGGGTTGTCGAAACAAGACATTGAAGTTTTGTCGTAACGGAAATGGCCTTTCTTTTCTGTTTTTTTTTTTGGGGGGGGGGGATTTTTGGTTGAATTTCTAACAATAGAAAGTTTGATTTATTCACTAATAACAGTTCTAACGTAGATGTTGTAAGATTAGACGAGAATAAAGATATAAAATGGATTGGTTCGAGATAGGCTTGGATAATTCGGATGTTGTTCATTCAGTTTTTATGTAAATTTCGGTTCGATTCGATTGAGTTTTTGTTGTAAAAAATTTATTTATTTTTTTAATTTTTAATTTTTTTGGTTATTTTTTTTAATGTATTCTGATTTGGTTCCGTTTTAATTTAAAATAACTATTCAATTTTTATATTATATTCTATCCGGGTAATTACCAAAATGGGAGTTCGAGCTAAACCAATACAAAACATGACAAACTCATTGTTGTTTTTAGAACCGACCAATCTTAAATCATTTTAAGCATGCACGCCTTTACAATCTTATCAATTGTTGTAAAGTAGGAAAAGGATAAAATACTGATTGTCTGAAAGATGGGATTGACTTTTTGATAAACAAAAGGCCTCTTACAAGAAAGACAAGTTTAAAATTTCTAAAGACGAACAACTCGAAGGCGCATCTGGTGTAGTGGTATCATAGTACCCTCCCACGGTACTGACCAGGGTTCGATTCCCTGGATGCGCAGCTTAAATTTTTAATTTTTGTGCTTTCGTTTCTCGGAACTTTTTTTTTTTGGGTAACGTTTCCTAGCGTGTTTTTTGGAAATAAGATTTTTTTACTTCCTACCCCAGCAGTTCAGGAGGGAAAATTACCCAAATAACCTACTTGTTTCACACCAATTTCAGGGTACACCACTTCCAAAAAAAAAATTTTTTTTTTTCAATTTTAATCCACTTTTCGGGTGAAAAAGTCCAAAATACCCTTTTCGTTTTATTTTTTACGATCTTTTTGCGACTAACATATAACTGATATATAACTAAAATAAGAGGTATGATTTTTTTTGCCACCTTTTTGTAACTATATTTAGAATTAATTACGAAGTCGTAATAACGAAGTTGTTTTCGAACGGATAAATATCGTGATTCATTAAGGGTAATTTCGTCTTTTTACGGAGAAAAAAATGTGTTATATTTTTTCTGGTGTACAGGTGAAATTCATGCGACCCATCTGGGTCATTTGAGTGAAGAACCCCAGTTCAGGACACAACAGAAGAGGTTTGATTTGGATTGCAACGGCGGCACATATTCGATGTTTTTCGTCGACCCTGAATCGATCACACACTCATCATCACCTTTTCTATTCAAAGTCAGATGCTTTCATTCGTAAAGGTAATCGAAAAATCGAGTCTTTGGATTTTAATCAAATGTTTTCGCGTTCACTTTCTTTGATTTTTGACTGACTATTGCTATTCTCTTGTCTGGCGCTCCTCCGGGAAAGATCTAACCGGAGGAGAAGAAGAGATGATGACAGGCTAAGCGTCGTCGCAATGGGCTCCGGTGAGGAAGACGGAGGATCATGGCGTGGTTCAGAGAATCATGGCGTCTCCCGCTTGCAGAACCCTCTTCCTCTTCCTCCCCTTATCGATAACATTACCGGCTTCACCATTGGCATTGGCCCTTAAAGCGCTTAGGTTATTCCCCTTCCTCTTCCTTTTACCTTTATTTACATTATTTTCTGATTGTTTGTTCATGTGAGTAAGATGCCTTTTTTGCTTGTGTAGATTTATCATGTTCGAATCTGTTTGAGCCTGGTGATGAGATGAATGTCGTTTCTGGTAGATGACATTGTAGTATTCGAGTAGCAAGCTGACACAGGTGTGAACATAGAGAAAGATACAATCTGAGCTGTACAGCTTCCTGCTGTTTCATATTTGGACAACCCTTTCTCTCAGAAGTGTTTGTCTCTGGTGTGCCTGTGCCCTTTTCAAAAGGGTACCTGTGGAACCTGGCATTAGCTTTTATTGGTGTGTGCCTGGATCTACATCAGCGGATTGGTGAAAATAAACATCTTTGTATCTTTATCCTTGTATGTTTCTGTCCTAACAAATGTTGTTAGCGTTCTTTGGGTTTATATAGTTAGGATATATGATGGGGTGCATAAAGTTTATATTTTTGAGAAGATGCAGGAGAGGGATCTTCATAGATTTTCAATCTATATATGGTATGGTACCTTATTTCATCTTTTTCACCTCAAGAAGGTTGTACAAGCTCTCTCTTCTCGGCAACGAACCATCAGATTCCCTCCGAATACTTTGGAAACACTGAAAGCTGATGATACACCGGTTTGCGCATCCATCTCTCAAGATTTCCACCGAATGAGCGCATAACCAAGAAACTGCCTACAGAATGTGGGAAAATACTCTAGAAATGGTCCATCTTCTTCTGAAGAAGCACATAACCCGCGTGAATATTATCTTTCAACACATTTCTTGCCAGAGGTTTCTAGAATCTGACAAGATCCGGGAATCGGTATAAGGGAATAGCTTTATTTTCATCTACCTTTTCTTTTTTAACAATCCAACAGAACTAGTACATGTTTGTTTGGAGATCTAAGCCATGTGATCCACTTACCGGTGTGAGGAGAAAAGGTCAATTGTCTCTGCAGGGTATATTGGGAAGGTTTGATTGTTGGTTAAGGTTTGCTGCAGGAAGAGCCATATGCTTGAGCTGCCATTCCATGACTTACCTACAAGTCTCTCCCCCAAACCCATAAAGTTTCTGGCTTTTGTTTTTTGCCGGATTTGTTTTGGCTTTTGGTGTCTAAGTGAGGTGATTAGTGTGGTGGGTATGTGATAGGATTCCCAATGTGCCCGTGAACTGAAATTTCTTGTCTCACCTGAGGGCATTCCAGTAAATATGTCCCTGTTTGTGGTCTCTCTGTATCTTGTATTTATACCAAGAAGCTTCTAGCTTGATGGATGGGAGTAGTAACGAGTGAATCTCCTTCCTTTTCCCCAATGTTTCTTGCTCAAATGAGTATTCCATGACAAAGAAAGAAGAGAGATTCATTCATTCAACTCTTGAAGTGTTTCATGTGTTGTGTTTTCTCACTCTTTCTTTGTCTCTTGAGATGCTCATTTGGGCAAGCAATGTTGGGAAATGGAATCCAAACTCAAATCCCATTTCATCTTTCATACCACTTCACTTAGCCATTGCATTGAAGTTCCATGTGGCAATGCTTCCATGGTTAACAATCTCATGCTTTTTTTTTTTGGGTTATCAAGATGGACCATGCAGTTGTTTTCAGGTTCTTTAATAGAAACAGTCCTAGATACCAAAGTAGGGATGTGTATGCATGCATATATATTGTAAAAATCACAACTTTATTGTTGTAAAATGTTAGATTTTAATAAAAATTTACTAAATTGGCAGTGTAAGTATTCAGGAATGAGAGAATATTTTGTGGGTAAAGAAATTTGTTGATCGAAGGGGGAAGAGGAAAAAATTAGGGCATCACACGTCGATTGCTTTCCATTTTAGCCGCTTCTGTGATCTGTCACTTGGTGCTGACATTTTCCTGCCTTGAGTTTAACCTCCAAAAGTCCAAACAAAGAAGAAGGAGAAAACGTTGGGTTAAGCGGTGAAAACAGAAAAGGTTCCTCCTTTTTGTCTCTGCGGATCCCTAGGGTTGGATTTTTTTTTCTTCCTTCTCTTCTCTGATTTTAGGGTTTTGGGTCAGAGTTTAGGGGTGTTTTTCCATTAGCGCAGGTGTTGAATCTCGAGGTTTTGTGTTTTTTTGAGGCAGCGAGATTCAGATTTAGGAAAATGGGTGATTGGCATCAGCTCGTTCAATCGGTCGTCTTAGGCTTGATCTTCTCTTACCTTTTAGCGAAGCTGATCTCCGTCGTCGTCGCGTTTAAAGACGATAACCTCTCCGTCACGCGCCACCGCCAAAACCCATCGGAGAGGAAGCTGGAGGATGACTCGCGCGGGGTCGAACCCCTCGCCGCCGCGGGCGGCGGCGGCGGAGGGGACGCTGATTCGCTCGTGGCGGAGCAGGGGAGCGTGAGAGCTGACAGCGCCGGTGGCGACGACGATGACGAGGACGACGACGACGACTGGGAAGGCGTGGAAAGTACGGAACTGGACGAGGCGTTTAGCGCAGCAACGGCGTTTGTGGCGACGGCCGCTTCAGACAGGCTGTCGCAGAAGGTGCCTAACGATGTTCAGCTTCAGCTTTATGGGTTGTACAAGATCGCTACTGAAGGTCCCTGTACTTCTCCACAACCATCAGCTCTCAAACTCACCGCTCGTGCCAAATGGTATGTCCGGATTCAATCAAGTTCACGTCTTACTTTTTGAAATCATCGGAAAGGAAAATACATTTTTTGGGGTTTGGTATCAGGATGCCGTCTTTTTCCAGAACTGCATTTTGATTCGTTTGAGATTTCTCAGTGCCATTATTGTATTAGGCAAGCATGGCAAAAACTGGGTGCTATGCCTCCTGAGGAGGCGATGGAGAAGTATATCGAGATTGTTACTCAGCTTTATCCGAATTGGGCCACCGGTGTCGCGGTATCGATCTCGTTCTCCTTCTGTTTTCGTTCTTTCCCTTTTCACATTCCTTTGATGTGATGATCTGTTCTTTCATTTCGATTACATTCAGAAGAAGAGTAGAAGTCGTGGCGGCGGCGGTGGTGGTGATGGTCCAAGCTCCGACACGGGAGGATCATCAATGGGACCCGTTTTTAGCTCGTTGGTGTACGAGGAGGAATCCGAAAATGAGTTGTAAGTTTCTTACCTTGGCTAATCTTTCTTATGTGTTTCGGAACCCTAATGACTCTGAACCTCGAGCACTTTTACGTGATCAATTTACGGGTAGATAGATCTGATTAGGACAAGGCGTTTTTACCGTTATGTTCTTCACCTCTGGGATGTGTTATGCATTGCTCGAACCGCTAAAAAAAGGCGACCTCTTTACTTTCCTCGTTCCCTCCTTCCCTCAGGAAGATGGATGCTATCCATTCATTTGCTAGAGAAGGAGAAGTAGAGAATCTGCTGAAATGCATTGAGAGCGGCATTCCCGTAAATGCAAGGGGTTAGCCTCTCTTCTCTGTAGAATTTTGTTACGTTTCTTAAAGATCATCCTCATGAACGGGAAATGGCAGATAGCGAAGGTCGGACACCATTGCATTGGGCTATAGATCGTGGTCACCTTAACGTTGCCGAGGCATTGGTTGATAAGAATGCGGATGTGAACGCAAAGGTGAGATTTTTAGCAATCCTCGGCCGAACATTTACGACGTAACCAGACCCATTTTTTTCCGTTCTTTTAGCGTATTTTTTCCGCGGGTATATAGGACAATGAAGGGCAAACCCCTCTGCATTATGCTGTTATGTGCGAGAGAGAAGCTATAGCCGAGTTTCTGGTGAAGCGGAAAGCGGATTCGACGATCAAAGACGAAGACGGAAACACCCCTCTCGATCTATGCGAAACAGACTGGAACTGGATGCAGGAAACTGCAGCAGAGCGTACAGGCTAAAACCTAACACAGCGTTTGGGTGAATCTACTAGTTTCTGTATATGAATTGAGTGACAGATCTTTTTATGGCATCCTCTTCTTGTGTTCATATCCATGTAAACACTTTGCTGTTCCAAGGTGTGTTTTACACAGATCCTGTTCGAGCAAATCTTTAGGCTTTTCGTCAGTGATAAGCGTGAGCTTGGGTACGTGGCATCGGAGAACTCGGGCCGTGGGTTTGAGTTCGGGTTTTTTTGAGGTTTTGTTCGGTTGATTATCTGTACCCGCGGGTAAACTGAGTCGATGGGGAGAGAAGGCGATCGGCGGGGCAATGCAAGGGCGAGACGAGCGGCGAGTGAGTCCTCGATCGATACCCGTCGGCCCTATCGTCTAGTTTTCTTCGTCTGTCTTCTCGGGGCTTGCAGTCCCATTGCGTTAGCGGACGAGTATCCCGTGAGCATATGACCCACCGATATACCCAGCGTAGTTAAGATTCTAATTAAAAATAATTTTTTATTGAAACGGATATTATTTTTATAAATCTGAATCAAACAAAAAACTAGCATTCAAACCAAATATATTTATATAATTTTTAAAAAGACGATCCGGAACTAACAAAAGATTATCATAACCAAAAAGATTTGGATGGCTGATTATATATTTTCCGTACTAAGAAATGGAAGCGAATAAGAATATCTGGTGGGACCAGATAAGGACTCCCCAACAACGCGGCGCACGACATGATCTCAAAGTGAACGTTAATTAATTAATTAATATAAAGATAAGTGAAAATCACAAAAAAAAAATATACTCTTTAAAAAGTCCACAAAAATATCCCTTACTTTTTTTATTATTAAAAAAACTTTATACTTATACTTATTACCGAAATATACATATAATTCTAAGATATCAAATAAAAAAATATATTTTTTTATTAACAAATAAACTCTATATATATATTTATTTAACGAAATATACTTATACTTTATAAATTCTATCAAATATATCCTTAAATGCAAACGTAAAAAAACGCGGTAAAAAATCTGTCATAACATAACCCAACTGATATATATTCGAACTGATTAAAATAATATACCATATTGGATATAAATATTTCAAATCCGAAATAACCAAATTCGAAATAACCGAATTCGAAATAACTATAAAACGAATAAACCTAACTAAAATTAACGGTAAACGAATTAATATCCAATATATTCTAAATTTAATTAAAAAAATTAGTATAATGATATTGGACTCACTCGAATTTGAAATATTCATATCCAATTTGGTATATTATTTTAATCAGTGTGATTCAGTTCGGTTATATATCGATCGGGTTCGGTTCCATTATTTCGGGTTCAGTTATTTCGAATTTGAAATATTCATATCCAATATGGTATATTATTTTAATCGGTTCGATTCGATTCGAGTATATATCGGTTGGATTAGATTCGAACAAGTTTTTTATCGTATTTTTTTGCATTTACGTTTAGAAACTTATTTGTTAGAATTTATAAAATACATGTATATTTATCGACGAATAAGTATAAATATAGAATTTATTTGATCAAAAAATTATAGATTTTTTTGTTTAATATCTAAAGATTACTGATATATTTCTAAACATAAATATAGACTTTTTTATAATAATAAACTATAGAGTTTTGTTGTCGACAATTTTTTTGCGAGTTTACCTAAAAATAAAAATAATGTAATCAAATAAACTGTTTATATTTTTCTTTATTTTCAAATAAAAAAATAGGACAAATTGAATATAATTTCCATTACAGCTCCACATCCGATTCTCTCTCTCTTTTTCCCCTCTTCAGGGCTTTAATTCCAGGGTTTCTATCTCAGTCCCCGTTTTCTCCGCTTGATACGATCGGCGGCGGCGTGATTCCCTCCCAGTCTCGCTATACTGTAGGTACTTTCTTCACTTCCCCTCTCGGAAATGTTTGAATTGGATCCGTTCTCGGATTCCCAAGTTCCAGATTCCCCTTTTTCTGATTCGATCCGAGTCGATCAATCATCGTTCCCCAGTTTCATTTTGTGTTTTTCGAAATTGTGGGATTCGATTTCGCTAGCCCGATTTCATCTTATTTTCTACGTACTGTATATTGGATTAATTGAATTTTCTCGATCTTAATTGAATTTCAGTTTCATTCCTTATTGTTAAATGTGTTATTGAATTACTGGGTTGTAAGGATTTAGTTGATTCTTATGCATTTTTTGATTAACTTGGGTGTGTGTAGAGCTGGGTGGGCGTGCAAGTGGAAAATTATATAATGAAATGAAACTCAGTGCTTTTTGGTGCTTATTTCACCTGGAGTTGTTCTAGTATCGTAGTAGCGTGCTGGTTCTGTCACGTTATCATTTTTGTTTTGGTTTTTGCAGTTCTGTCTTGCTTGTGTAGTTGTGTATCTAAAAGTCATTCTGGGTTACAATATTTCTGGCATCATGTGTGTGTTCTAATAATATTGACATGTGATGGGTTCTGTGCATCAATTTGAGAAAATGAGACAGCTTTTTCCAGTTCGCCGAATCTGATGTTGAATGCGACAATTTGCAGTTAAAGTATGGCATTGGAAGTTACCCAGTTGCTCTTAGATGCTCAGTCGATTGACGGAACTGCGCGTAAGCAGGCAGAAAGAAAGTCTCAAGCAATTTCAGGAGCAAAACCTTTCAGGTTTCTTGTTGTCCCTTGCTGGAGAGCTTGCAAACGATGAGAAACCAGTCGATAGCCGAAAATTAGCAGGGTTGGTCCTGAAAATTGCTCTCGATGCAAAGGAACAGCACGGAAAGTATGAGCTTGTCCAGACTCTAGAGATGTAAGTTTCTTTTTGTTGTTGCACAGTGATGTGTGTTGCCAGAGTTTAGATCGATGTTAAATTAATACATAGTTTTGCCTAACCGGGATGAGGTGGTGATGAAGACTGCGATTGGGGTCCTAGGAGATTTAGCTGAAACACTAGGAAACCATGTGGGTGCTTTGATACAACAGTCTGGGCCGAGTAAAGAGTTCTTAAACGAATGCCTGTCTTCTGAAGACCACATGATTAAAGAAGCTGCGGAATGGACCAAGCGTGCTATTAGCCGAGCATTTTCCGTTTGAGGCTCTTTGCTGCTTGTGGCTTAGAACGCCATTTTGTTTCTGCTCTTTTGGAAGAAAAGTCTGCATACATCTGGGTGGGTTGAGTTCAGTTAGAGTTGAGTTTGGCCGGGGTAGAGGGGGTTGCATCATCTTCACTTTCATTGTCGGCGTCGTTGGGTCGGGCATCTTTTTTGTCGAGGAGGAGGAAGAAGAAGGCGGGGTATTAACTAGCGGGTGAAGGCGGTCCAAAGGGAAGAATCTCTAGTCATGGCCGGGGAAAGGAGTCGGGTGAAACGTTTTTCTCGTCAGGAGGGGAGGGGGGGAAGGAGTCTGGTTCGTTTGCAGATGGTCGGACAAGTAAAACCAAAGTCATACCATGGAAAAGAAACAGCATTTTGTTTCTATTTCTCTTATGCCATGTTCTTCACCCGAAGAGGGGGGTCTGTTTTGATAGTCACACACCACCCAAGGTGCGGGATATTTTTTAGACGACTTTCTCCTTGATTTTATTTCTTTTTTTTTGGGGGGGGGGGGGGTTT